TTGAAGACAGAATCGGACTCTTCCTTTGCACTGAATTTGTTGCAATATGTAAAGGAATTGGTGTATAACCTTTTAACCATTTTATTAACACAAAATTACCCTTTTTCAAGACATGGGACATATTCATCCCAACAGTAATTTCGAGTGGGACAAATATGACACAGCCGTTATAAAAAAAAACTTTTAAACTGTTGTAAGGTTTATTGAAGGTACAATTTAAACTATTTAAAAAAAAAAATTAGGAATTAAATGGTAAGAACCATTTTTTCGCAAAGAGGTAAATATAACCAATTAAGTTTTTGTATGAGTTTCTGTTATTTGTAATTTGTATTGGAAAATGATCTCCAACATTTTTCATCATCTTTTGTCGTTTTGTAGTTCTACCAATTCGTCCACTATAGCGCGGCTTTAGTGTAGTTTTAGATCTACCTAGACTTGTTATTTGCTCGGCCAAATGGATAATTTAATAGTGGAATTTTCATTTGTTTATTTTTAACATCGAAAAAAGTATCCAAAAAGTGATTACGGAGGCCATAAGAATATTTCGTCTACCCCTTGGTTATAAACAGATATTTGCTGATCTGCCAAGTCGATGCCTCCAAAGTATTTATTATAAAAAAAATGTGTTTAATACATAACTTTCCTGTCTGGTTATTTTGTACAATGTGTTTTATCATCCCTGTAAATATTCATTGCCAACAAAAATATTGAAAAATTTTAATTTTATACTTGTTCTCAAATTTTTCATTTATGGTCCATTTTAGGAAATCATATAAAATAAAACAATTATCTTAAAAATGTGAATTTTTTACATTTTATTATTTTTATCGAATACGGATCAAATTTGGATAGGGCAGAAATTATAGAGAATAACATTACAAGCAACTTTCATTTAAAGAAATTTTTTCTCTAAGCGTAAATAACAAATATATTTCATAAGGTTGAAAAACTACTCCTATAAAGTACTTCCCAGATGTTCTGACTATGCCCAAACATCTTATCAGGTCACCGCAAGCCGGAATAAAGCTTAAGGTTATGTATTTTTTTATTGTATCAGTTCATGATTAATATGTCCTAAACATTTAAGTTGATATTGTTTTTCGTTTTTGATTTATGAATTTTTTTAAATTTTAACCCCCCTTAACCCCCCTATTTTTTATCAGATTTTTTAAAAATCAATAAGCTTAGTTCCATTGCAGAGCTTGATTTTCCTAAAACTTTCAAGTTGATATTGTTTTTCGTTTTTGAGTTATGAATTTTTTAAAATTTAAACCTTTTTAATCCCCATTTTTATTCAGATTTTTTTAAAAAATGAGTAGGCTTCGTTCCATTGCAGAGCTTAATTTTTTCTGAAAATTTCAAGTTAATATTGTTTTTTGTTTCTGTTTTCGATTTATGATTTTTTTTTTAATTTTAACTTCCCTAACCCCCCTTTTTTATTCAGATTTTTTTAAAAATGACTTCGTTTCATTGTAGAGCTTGATTTTGTCAGAAAATTTTAAGTTGATATTTAGTTCTTATTTTAAGATTTTTTTAAAGTTTTAATCCCCTCCTTAACCCCTCGTTTATTAATCAGATTTTTTCAAAATCAATAGGCTTTGTCCTCTTATAGAGATTGATATGTGTTCTAAACACAATACCAAGAATAGAGGCTTTATTCAACTTAAAATACAACTGACAAATATAATGATATTAACAAAATAATGATAAGACAATAACTTACAAAACATCAGTGGTCGCCAGTCTCTCAATGTGTTGAGCTACTTTGTTAATTTTGGAATAAACAGCGAGCTACCCACACGGAAGCCACGTAACGCAACGTAAATGAAATAATCCACAGTTAATTTATCATTATATGTATTTATTTTACTATTTAACTGGTAATACATAATACATAGGTACTAATAATAAATTAATAACAAAATTACTAATATTACTAGTACGTACTTGTTCATAGCTACATTCCTACCTACCAAACGAAGGTGTTTGAAAAATAAACACAAACTTTTATCCAGCCACAACGGCATGTCACGTAAGATTTAAAAATAGTTAATAATAACAACAAAAAAGTAACGCACTATCATGAACATAAACATTGAAAAGTAAAAAAGCACGTTCAATGAGAAGGCTGATAATCAGACTCATCGATAATTTTTTTAATGTTTGCAGTATAATTTGATACAGCCATTCGAATACAATTATCCAAATGTTCATCTGTAAACTCCAGCTTTTTGATAAATGCTTTTATATCAGAAATCATTTCCGCTAGTTCTTTGTCTCTCCCCTGAAGCTGCAAATTAAGTTCGTTTAATTTCTCTGTAATGTCCACGAGAAAACCAAAATCTCTAAGCCAGATTGAATTTTCTAGTTCCGGAGTCGGTTCATCGCGTTGTTTGAAAAATTGAACTATGCCTGATAGGACATCATTAAAACGTTTCAGCACCCGTCCTCTACTTAACCATCGGACTTCAGAGTGAAGGAGTAGGTCCCCGTATTGACAGTCAACTTCATCGGCCCAGGTTTTGAATAATCTTCCTTGTAACGCTTGAGCCCTAATCTTGTTCACAATTTTTACCACCAGTTTCATAACGTTGTTTAGTTTCAGGAAATTTCCACATAATGCTTTCTGATGGATAATGCAGTGGTAACAGAGAAATTGCGGAAAAGTTTCATCTTTACGACATAACTTCACCAGACCCTTATCACAACCCACCATAGCTGGAGCGCCATCGGTTATCAAGCCTACTATTTTCGATATTGGAATTTTCTCGGAAGAAATAATATTTTTTAAATGAGAAAACAACTCCTGTCCAGTAGTGTGTCCTTTCAGTGGAATAAACTTCAAAAGATCTTCTTTAATCGTAAAATCACTGTAAACCATCTTGACGAACACGGCCATCTGGGCAGTGTCAACGACATCTGTTGATTCATCCAGTTGAAGTGAAAAATAAACACAGTTATCTAAGTCAGTTCTTAACTGTAAAAAAATATCATTGCTCATTACTTCTACACGTCTCATCACTGTATTAGCAGAAAGTTGCATAGATTTTATAGCTGAAACTATCTCGTCTTTATTTCTAAAGTTGGCAAATAACGAATCAGCAGCTTCTAAAAACGCCTGTTTTATCATTTCCCCGTCTTCATAAGGTTTATTTTTTTGTGCAATTATCTGAGACACACGGTACGATGCTTCAGTTGCAGCCTTATTTTTGTCGACTGTTCTTAAAAATATTGATTGTTGTCCAATTAACTGCTTTTTTAAATGTTTCAGTTTCTCCTTTCTGGCGGCAGAATGTAGTGGGAATGATTTTTCAAAATTAGAATGTACAGTTTTATGATGTCTCTCAATATTTCCTTTTTTAGCAACGGAGACCGAAGTATTACATAACAAACACACATTTTTATCTTTAACTCTTGTAAAAAAGTACTGTTCTTCCCATTCCGAATGAAAGTAGCATGTCTTTACCTTCTTACAACTGCTTGCCATAATATTATTTTTTGTTGGTCTCTACTAACCCAACCGCTGGACGTTGTTTACGCGTTCAGTTTTAAACTAAGCGCAATGTCGCCGCGCCGTGCGTATTTATCCCGTTCAAAGCAATCCTGATCGTTCTCGAACACTAACGCGCTGGTCCGGCTGGTCGGTTCTAGTCGATTCTAGCTTGATGGCGTCAGCGGCAGATCGCTCACCGCTGTTTATGTTTAATATTATGACAATTACATTTTTTTGTGGAATTTTCGGAAGCTTCTCTGATTTTTGCAGTTTGTATTTTTTAAATTAAAATCGTTGTGAGAGCTACTAGAATTGCCTCCGCGAGCTACCGGTAGCTCGCGATCGACAGGTTGGCCACCACTGAACTACATGGTAAAGACATAGTAACTAGCACATCATTCTACCCTAGTGCGAAAATCAAGCATAGTCATCGATATATTGCGGTAGTTTCCTACTCCTAGCTGAGCAACGTGTGGGAACTGTTTCAGAAGATTCTGGAGGCAATGTAGAGTCTTGCTCTGGATCTAAGGATTGATTTCGCGAAACTTCGTCAACAGTAGAATCTCTTGAAGAAAGATTTATATTTATTCTTCTGTAGCTTCTTCGGCCAAACAGATATCTCCTCTTGGAGCTAGATGCCTATTAGTCACTGTTGTTTCAGTTCCGTCTGTAAGCCGCACATGAGAGTAGTCAGGGTTGGCCTGAATTAGTTCGACTTCATCCACTAGAGGATCTTATTTCTAAGACCTGACATGTTTTTTCATAAGTACTGTCCCAGGAGACTGCAACCACGTAGGAAATGATTCGCCATTGGTAGATTTTCGAGCATGGGTGAACATTCGATCGTGGGGAGTCGAATTTGTAGCTGTACATAGCAATGAGCGAATTGAATGTAGTGCTTCTTGAAGTACTATTTCCCAATTATTAATATTTAGTTTTTATTTTTGAGGGACAACTCTATGGTTTTCCAAAGAGTACCATTTAATCGTTCTATTTGAGAATTTATCTGAGGATTGTACGGAGTAGTTCTGCTTGAAGCTATTGAGCGACACCAAAAAATCTTTAAGTTCATTTGACATGAAGGAACTTCCTCTAGCAGAATGAACATAGGATGGAAATCCAAAGACATAGAATAGATTAAGTAAGTGTTTTTTTATTGTACTGGTTTTTAGATCTGAACAAGAAAACGTAAATAGAAAACGTGAATATTCGTCTATAATTGTAAGTAGATAGAGGTTATTAGAATTTGAGGGGAGGGGGGTCCTTTTTGGCATTTTTGAGTTATTCAACTCGTTAAATTATTTTAAGGTAAATAAATGCAGCTTTTAGTGCAGAAAGAGACCATCTTCCGTAAATACAGTGCCCGTAAATTCGACCTATTTTTAAGCATTTATTTGAGAAAGGTACCAAGTGACATAGTTGGTCCCTTTCTCAAATAAATGGCTACTAGCGCCACCGAGGTTTTTTTCAGCATCAACGCCATCAGCTGTCAAGTAGAATTAACCTTAAAAAATTATATTGTCATAATATTGTTGTGTCAAAGCGTATATTTAAAGTGTTTTCTAAGAAAATAAGAATTATGAGTGATACCGACGATACCCAGTTTCAAAGGTCCGTGGAAGAAACAAAAAAAAAGAAACGAGGGGTTAGAAATGACGAAAATTATAAAAGGAATGTTATTAAGAAAAGGTGCAGAGTTCAGGGGAAGGCTTACATAAATTACAGTGAAAATGCTGTAAATGCAAGAAAGCTTGGAGACGAATGCCGGTAAGTTTGCAATTAGCAAATTCTTTCGGTAATTATGAACGCTGATAATAAAAGATGCGCTTTTTACTCGCTTTCGTACCCTTAACACTAAGGATGATCAGGACATATATTTGCAAGGTCTTTTAGAAGTAGTTAACATTAAAAGAAAATCTCGACCACAAAATCCAGAGAACTCAAAGGAAAAAACTTGTTTCTTCCATCATTATGTCCCAGTTGATGATAAACGAAGAAAGGTCTGTCAAAAGGCATTTCTTAGTTTGTTTAGTATTGGCATCAAAAGGTTGAAGAGTTTAAAAAGTCTTCTAAAACAAAACATAACTCCATATGACAAGCGGGGACAAAATATAAAAGGCAACGCTATTTCAAAAGAGAACAACGTACTAATTAGCCAGCCTATTGAGTCATTCCCTGTTAAGGAAACTCATTACAGCAACAAAACCTATCTATATCTTGATGCTAAACTCAATATGTAAATTATGTTTGATATATTCAAAGTAAAATATCCAACAACCAAAATTCGATATTCCTACTTTGTGAAATATTTTCATGAGCATTTCGACATTCACTTTGGTCGTCCACAAGTAGACACTTGTTGCAAGTGTAAAGAACTGGACCTCAAAATAAAAAGTCCTTCGCTAGGAGATGCAGCCAAAAGAGCAGCAGCTGTCGTACTTGCAGTACATAAAAAAAGAGCAAAAAAGTTTTATTTGTCGTTAAAGGAATCTACTGATGAGTGCAAGATTCGTGATGACCTGGTCGTAATAACATTTGACTACATGTAGAATTTTCACTTACCTGAAGTTCCAGTCTAGGATTTATTTTATCTAACACAACTAACAGTCAGTATTTTTGATATACACAACTGTAAGACCAAGTCATTCTTTTATATTTACCATGAAGGTGTTACTAATAAGGGATCAAACAAGGTATACTCGTTCCTGTGGGAATATATTCAACGTGAAATTTCAGAAAATGTCCAGGAATTACGTCTTTATAGCGATAATTGTCTCGGGCAAAACAAAAATCATACCATGATACGCATGTGTACAGCATCAGTTGAAACTAATAGATATAAAAAAGTAGAACAATTTTTTCCGATCAAAGAGCATTCCTTCTTGCCTAATAACCGAGACTTCGGTGTCATTAAACGACGTTTAAAGCGATCCGATCGTATATTTTCTGTTCACGAATACACTGAAATAATAATAGCTTCAAGTACGTAGAAAATTTTTACTGTCATGGAAGTTTCAGGAGAAGAAATCACAGATTTCAAGCAATGGTGGCCCAAATTTTATAAAAAAAATGTTATGTCTCCGGAAACTTCAAACAAAAAATCCCCAAGGCATAAAAGCAACCCTTTTCTGTATCGCAATTTTGCCATTTTCGTTGTAACTCAGAAACTCCTGGATATGTCATGTGCTCAGAATTTATTGGAGGTCTGACGGACCATACTTATAAGATCCATATGCCAAGAAATGTCGAAAGAGTTCCGGTTAGAATGCCTGAAAAAAACCCCCATCAAGAGAAAGTTCCAATATTGGAAACAAAAATAACGGATTTCGGTAAAGAGATGTCATGCGTTCCAGAGGAATATCACCCATTCTATCAAGAAATTTTGGAATGGCCTACAAAAGTTTCCAAAAAGGAAGAGATGGAATTCCAAGCTTAATACAAATTATGTTACAGTTTTCAATAAATCATTGTTTTTATTGGGGTAATTCTTAGAAAAACAACTTACTGTTTAATATTTCAGTGATAACCCCAAGTTGATTCCATGAAAAAATAATATTTTCCATTTATTTGAGAAAGGTACTAACTGCATTTTTTGTAATCTAATTTTTTCATTATCAAAAAAAAAATACCTGTTTTAACATAAAAAACATCTAAGCAACTGTATATTGAATTAATTATGTCAAAAAATAGCATTATCACATTTTATTAAACTACAAATAAATTTTTACTCATTTTTTTAAAAGTAACAAAATGTTAGTTAATACCTTTCTGAAATAAAATTTTTCTAAATCTTTAGACTTCGTACCCTTATAGAGATTGATTTTTCGTGAAAATTTTAAGTTCATTCTTCGTTTTTAAAAGATGTTTAAAATTTGATGAAAAGGATTTTGATACAAAAAATTTTAAATTTGGATGTACATTAAAAATTTTGGTTTCTTGAAAGTAAACCTATAATACTCTTCACAGACTACTGTGTGAAGAGTATAATTAGCTGAGGAATCAGGTTTACACTTAGTCAGTTAACATCAGTATTTAGCATAATGCGACCTAAAAATAAGGGACCTTTTAGTATAGTGTTTTAGTTTTTAAAATTTGAAACGGACATTTAATTGAAATTTCGGATTTAATATAATCACAAATGTTTGGAAAATCTATTATAATCTATAAATTTACAACCTTTTATATGATATTTGTATCTTTCATTAAAAAGATTTGTTGTTTATTCAATCAAATGATTTCGAAGTATGTGACTTTTTAGTTAACAAAGCTGTTCAAAAATTAACTAGAATTTTTGTGGAATATTAAGTTGAAAGAACATTATAAATAAATTAAATTGAAATAAAGCATTTCAGAAACTACTAAACAGGGTTTCAAAATACACAAAATAACTAAAAAGTTTGTCCTACTCATTTAATAAAATTATTCTATAATAATTATTCAAAATATCGACAATTTGTTTTAAGGCACATATTGCACCATTTTACGTTGGTTCATTGAAATTTTAACACGCTGTATCTCGGGAACGAAGCGTTTTCGATCATATGCTTATTAGACAAAAATGTTATTTTAAAAGTTTGAAGGTATTTTTACGGGACCCTGTATATTTTTATTTTACTAAAAATAAACTATGAAACTGGGGAATTGCAAAAAATTTGCATGCCTATATTTCGTATTAGTTCTTGAAAGTTTTGTTTTGATTTCTCATTTATAATTCTTAAGAGAATTAATAATTACAAAATAATAATTCTGAAGTTTACCACAATCCGGTCCTGTATATTTTAATAAAATTTTTAGCAGAGCGTAACTTTTTTTTTAATTGCATGCTTAGAATCAAACGGTGAAGAACGTATACATACACTTTTGTAACTGCCTTGCTACATCAATAATAATTATAAAACACGTCGTATATATGAATTAGTCAATGATTTGGGGTGGAAAAACTGCTGTGATTCGCTCCAATAAACAATAAATTTGCCGATTGCAAAGGGTTAATTACATGCATTTAAACTGTCACGCAGTTTTGGATTTTGTCGTATTAAAATTACATTCAAACATCTTAAAAGAGAAAGAAAAACAATCCTTTGTATTTGGTACAACAATTTTCATTGTAATAATTGGCATTATTATAGTAAAAATCTACAGAATACACAATAATTCTAAATACAATAAATCAAATAACTAATTATTACTCCAGCTAATGTCTCACATTGTATCAAAGAATTATCCAAAGTAATACGTTAATATTTTTAAAAATAATAATTAACTTGTCACTTAGTTTTTAGTTTAAATAGAGAGTCGATAGTCGACAGAGAGTAAGTAAGAGGAAGAGTAAGGGATGTGCCTGAAACTCTGGCCGAAAGGCCATTCTAGTTTTGACGGTAACAATAATAATATAATAATAATAATTATATTTATTCATCCGGTTATATTTATAAAGTTTAAAATTTAAAATTGTAAAATCACTTCAAACAACAGTGAAATTAAAATGTAAATAAAAATATATACCTACATCTTACAAACAATAGTAAGAAAAACTGGGTAGTTTTGTCTTGCTGATATTCTGCAACACTGTAGTAGCCCAGTATAATTATTCTAGCAGTAATGACACTCCCTGTGTGGAAAAAGGTGCGCAGCTTTTACTGCGCTGACGTTTTCGGGATATAATCTGTCACTTGTCATAAATCTGTTTAAAAACTCGCTACCATGCGCAAGAAACCCATATTTCGTACACAAATACTTACTTTTGTTTACATTTTATCGAAGTAATTTTTGTAATACATTCACAGCTTAAAAACGGAAAATTTGTTATTTTGATAGTGGATTTAGATCAAAAATACCACAAATACACTTCAGTGTGTATTTTATTCTTATTGTTACGTGTTATTGCTTGTCTTATATAAGGATATTGGAATAAATATAGCACTAGAAGTATCCAAGATAAAAACGTTTGTTATAAAAAGAAAATACATTGCTTTCGACTAATTTATGTTTAGTATGTTTTCGTGAAGTATTTCCAACATGCTAGTTACTTGAATGGTTGTAAATTGTAAGAGTATAAGTAATAAAAACTGATCTAGTGCTTTTTGCTTCCTTGTTTGTGTTGGTGTCCCATCCCCCAGCCCAGCATTCCCAGCCAGCAGTAGTAGCAAAAATATTAACCATGTCTACATTTAACCACTTTACATGTACATGATTTATCAGCTAAAAACAGAACACAATAGTTCTTTGCAAAATGTAAACAACGTTTCAAGGAAAATTGCTCATGTATAAATTCAACAATTAAATCAAAATATATTATTTTTAAAGGACTTATATCAACTATTATGTTAATTATAAATATTATAATATAAATATTTGTAACAGAAAAACCTGTTGTCACTCCAAAAAATATATTGTTTATTGATAATTAGATATCAAAAATATGTGTTCCTATAGAAATTTGTTGAAATATGTTCTATTGCTCTTAATCTTTTTAATAGATTCTTATTATAGTTGTAAATAAAAATCAACACTTTTTATCACACACAAACACACACACACAAACACACACACACGCACACACACACACACACACACACACACACACACACACACACACACACACACACACACACACACACACACACACACCACTCTGTTTGATTACGGCTTTAGGGGGGTATCTTATAATTTGTTAAAAACCTATCTAAGCAGTAGGGAACAACATGTTGAAATTAATAATACTTTCAGTAATAAAACAATAATTGAGTACGGAGTACCACAGGGAACTGTATTGGGACCAGTACTCTTTACAATTTATCTAAATGACATCTTATACTTACCATCTTTAGGAATAATAATTAGTTTCGCAGATGACACTGTGATCTACTATGAATCGTATAGTTGAAAAGATCTAAAAAATTCGGCAAAACTTGATATAGATAAATTAATTGACCTTCAATCAGAAATTACTTACCATCAAATTTTCGAAAACACACTTTTTCTATTTGCATATTATGAAAATACTTTACCTGCATACAATCTCTTGAGCATCAATAATCATGGTACCAAAATCCGAATACAATCTTCCAAATCTGTCAAATATCTGGGTATTTATTTAGGGTCGATTCCACCGTTGTCTTAAACAGAGATTAAAATGACATTGTTAATGTAAAAATGTCATTTTAAACTTCGTTTAACACAAAGGTGGAATCGGTACTTAGACTGTCATATGAGATGGAATGTTCACATTGGAAAAGTTACAAATACTTTAAGAAGTTTTATGTAAAAGATGGAAAAGTTTTACACACATGTAGTGCTGTGCTAAACAATAGAAAATAAAAATGATCGAATAAACCAAGGAAATTTTAATTTATATTAAATTCTGCTACGGTAAAGAAATTATTCTTATACAAGAAAAATAATTATCAAGTTCCTTAGAGAGTGATTATTATCCCTTGAGCAAGGCTTATTGCTACTGTTTGAGACAAAAACTTCACTATCTGTTACTATGAATAGTGATTTAAATGAATCCGATCCTGTAATAATCTTTATATATTACTAAAATGTTGCCGGTAGCATAATCATTTTATCTGTTTATATCGGCTGTCGTCATTCGATTTTTATTGTTTCCACGTCTTTCACATAATTATTATTTAACAGCCGATGTTATTTTATCTGTCGCGCTTTGATTTAATCTAATCAACAAGCCTTTTATCGCGTGGATTCTGATATTCCTCGGTGAAATGGAATAAAACGAAATGAATAATGTCCGATGACCATCGCTCCATAAACGTACATGAACAACAAAGCTTAATTAGAGGTTTTGATTAAAATACCTGCTAATTAATTGGAGAATTAACTGTAACCTGGCTGTTTATGCAGCGAATGTATATGGTCAACGAAATTATACATAAGGAACACAATTAAATCAAACTGTTGTTTTTTACGAATATTTATTTTATTAGAACAGTTGATTTTATTTGATTCGGTTAGGATTATGGCCATGCTGCCTCCCTCTCTTCGATCTTTTCAGATCCACATGCAGTTTTTACTATACTTCATAAATGTACTTCAGTTTTGTTGAAATGGTTGTTGTTAAATAACTTTTTCGAAACAAAATTTAGAGTTTACTTTTAAAAATGTATACAGGTTTTTGAGGAAACATTTTATTTTTTACGAAAGCATGTCAAGAACTTCCAAACGTAAAGCTAAACAGCTAGAGAATGAGACACGATATTGATAATTGAAAAATAATGTTTCAAATTCAGATTAAGGGCTCATGGCGAATGAAACATTTATTGGCAAGCCTTTACCCAGGCCCGCGCCTATCACTTTAGGCGCGCTTGTGCAAACTTAAAATAACGCCCCAAATTTGTGTTACGTTCATATGGGAGTACAGATACGGGTTAAGTTAGATATTATTATCCACTATTGAAAAATAATTTTAAAAAGTAT